GTCGTCTGGCTCGTACTGTACGATTTCATACGAAGTTGTATGATCGTATATGATCTTGTACGATCGTATTATACGATCCAGAGGACAAATCAGATACCACGATTCATATATGATTTTCATACGATTTTGTCTGATTCAGATACGATCCTGGTACGATTCTTCAACCCATATTGGATATGGGACCCAGCCCGCGAGCCGGTGTGGAAAATCTGAATCGACAGTTCGATTCAGAATATTTTTCTCTTACTATACTGAAATGCTCACCTCCGATCCTTTCAATTTATTTATAGAGCGCTCGTGTCTACCTAGATTTATTTTATTCGTTTCGTACACTAACCAATAAAAATCCAAGATGGCTGCCATGCCTAAAATTCTACGTAGAGCGCTTGCTTTACTCAAAATAATGGAAAACCGCGGAATTTCTTGCATATTTATTGAAAAGAAGTCCTAATTATAATTATTCCGCCAAATGCGACAGAAACAGGCTTGAGCGCGCACGCTAAATTCGAATTTGGTGCTAAATAGCTCTAATTAATTATCTATCTTCTCGCAAGGTTGTTAATGAGATTTTTTTACTGCATATATAATGTACGCGTCTACTCCAGGGCTGCCAAATCTTAATTTTCAAATGGGGTACACGAGAGTTCGAATGGGGTACAATTGGGGTACAATTCTTTTTGTAAAGGGGTACATCATTAGGGTACATAGCTTACCTTCTGAAATAGAAGAATTTGTTGGAAAAGTGGACGAAACAAAACTTCCTTTCTGAAAAAATAACATTCTTGTCGAAGTTTTTTCTTATATAAACTAATTTTATTGTTCACTTTTTCACAAAAAGCAGTTTCACAGTTAAGGTATAACTTTAAAAACATTCTCATCAAGAGAAAACAAATAGAAAATTTCATATTAAGACATGTTAAATATCAAATCAACTAGAACAAAGCTTTTTTTATATAACTATACTTTTCCGAACGTCGAGCGCATTTAATTAGATCAGGTTCATTTTGAACAAATGTAAAAAAGTCATTGCATTTCATCTTACAATTTAATCTTATTTGTAATTCAGCAGCAACAGTTTCAATGGACATTGAATTTCGACTCGGTGTCCATGCATGCTTCATATGACTAAATACACCTTCTGCAAATGCATTTGAACATGGTATTGAATAAACATAGGAGAGCTACATCCGATGAAAAGAAATCCTTGATTATTGGTGGACATGAGGATGCATCTTCATTTTTTTCATCAGTGCTACAAAAATATTCACATAAGGGGTCATAAACTTTCAACAATCGGTCTATTGAAATAAATAATGTTAGCCAACGAATTTTTATATGCTGTAATAAGCATTAAACAGATAGCAGTTTCGCATCTATATAAAAATACAAAAAATGAAGTATATTTACCAGATAGTCTTCTTCAACGAACTCGAAATATTCTTTGAGTGCTGCAACTCGTTTTGATGATGAACTGAAATGACTGTATAAAGAAGATAAATATGATTCAATATTAACTAATAAACATGGATGTGAGTTTTTGACCGAATTATTCAGGATATGACAATAACAATTTCCTTAAAAGAAAAAATGATATCCCTAGAACTGTTCGTTTCTTAAAACTATATTATTACCTTTTAGCAAATTTAAAACTTCCAGTTTTATGATACTAAATACTGAATGATGTCTGCCATAATTTGTATTGGTATTGTCAGCTCCAATTGAAGTCATTTGTTGAATATCAATATTATTTTTTGTTAGTACACCACGTAATGCAGCAACAATATGTTCAGCTGATTCACGCGGTTGTTCTAGTACTTCTAATACAGATCGTGTTATACCTGATTCAACTGTAAAATAGTTGATGATAAATGGAAACATTTTTATATTCGCTTTGTTTGAACCATCAAAAGACAATGAATAATAAAAAGATTTGTGTATTTGTTCAATTATTTTAGAAGTAAAAGAAGGAGCTAAAACTAAAACAGTAAAAAAGGTATGGACTTTTGCATGAGTAGCATATGGGATCTTTTTACCAAGAACGTTTACTGCTAAATCACGTGATTTTGTTTTACCACAAGCAATATTTTGACCAATATTAGATTCATTGAAAATTTTTTTTAAAAGATCAATTGTACACGACTGACTAATGTAGCTATGACCATGATGCACCCCATGAAACACAAGACTAAGTTCAGCAGCAGTTAATTTGGTTAATGTACTTGATGATGGAATAAAATCGTGAATTGATCGTGCTGAATGAGAAAATAAATCGATCAATGAAATGTTATTGCGTATCAATGTTGTACTTTACACTTTTGTTTAGCTTCAGTTTCAGCTAATTGTTTATGACTAGGTTGTTCCGCATGTCGATTGATCAGATAAACACCTCCATTGGCAATAGAAAAATTAGATTTGCAAATAGAACAATGTGCAAGATAAGAATTAGTTCGACATTCTTTTAGAAATGTTGAATATTTAGGATCTTTCAACCAATTATTGTTGAAAGTAGAGCATCTTTTCGACTTTGATGATGAATTAGTGTTTTTTGTTTGTTTGTTATTCACAGTTGGGTTTTTCAAAGAACCGAGAGATTTATTAACTGTTGTTATTGTTTCTACTTCTGATTCTTCAGAAGTTTGTATTTCATTGGGCTCGTTCAATTCCATATATGCATTATTATCATATTCATTGAGTAGAAATTTAAATCTAAATTCATTTTTGACAGAATATGTGCTAATCAAATAACATAGAAATAAGCATATAAGGACGGGGTACCCTTTAACCCGCTAAGAGATATTGAAAGCGATTGTTATCATTATGCTTAGAATTGCTTCAAACCCCAGGACATTGAAGGATTTTCTCGACTTTTACAATTTTTTTTCGATCTTCACGCACCTACTATAAAAGCGCTCGTTTCCACGTACAACTGTTTTATTCGTTTTGTATGCTGACCAATAGAAATTCAAGATGGCTGACAGGCCTAAAATTCTACGTGCAGCGCTTCTTTTTCCAAAAAAATAATGAAATTCTTGCGTAATTACTGAAAAGAAGCCCTAATTATAATTCTCCCACCAAATTTGCACAGAAACAGACTTGAGCGCGAATTAAAACTGTGAGTTTGGCGCCAAATCGATCTAATGAACTTCTTGTTTAGCTGTTCTGATAGATTCTTTTATTACTGATCACGCGTACTCATTGTTAGTTAAACTATTCACTCTTTTTGCATGTTCCCGAAGAAAAAACCGGGTAAAACATGGTGAAATAAATAAGAAAGGTTTCTCGTATACTTTTGTGCTCGATTTATCTGCCGTACTTTTAGCTTGTTTTCCTTCATAGCCGAGGGTGTATGCGGGTTGTGTGCACTTTATTTTAAAGAGCAAGTCAAGGCGTACTAATGCCACTACGAGACACAATTCTTGTACTACGTCGTGAAATAGTTGGTTCATGTCCAACTATTTGAAGAAAATCTTGAACTGCATGGTATGAAAAGGCAATGAAATCTTATTCGATCTTGTATAAAATAAAATTCTACCCACGCTCGTTCAAATAAGGTATAAACTACCCGAGTATGTCTTTTCGACTTAACAAGGCACATTTTACGACTTCACGCAACTGTGAGCAGTTCGTCAAAGTTCTGTACAGGTTTTTCTGATAATCGAATCGCATACATAGAACATCGAGAACCACTCGTGTGAACAGACATGTAATTTTCCTCCACATCGTTTGTCATCGTAAATCAACTGATCTTACAGTATATTATAGGGAATTTATAAGATTCTGAGGTCTTATGCGAATCTCATCATCTTCTTATATAGATATCCTATAAAAGTTTTGCAGAAATCTGCAGGATTACTCTATTTATCCTGTACAAGACTGAATGAATCTCTACGATCGAAGCTGAAATTATTTAGCTGTATTTTATTTGAGTTTTTGACGTTTTCATATTCAAAATTCGATCTGAAATGCGAATTTTTTGCTTTTCATAATCTAATTTTTTAGCACTACTGAAAACTTGAATCTCAATCTGGGAAAATGTTTAAACTACCGTTTTAACAGATGAGGCTGTCTGACTAATTGCCTTAGTGACAGTTGATTACATCATGTTTTACTCGGACTTTTCTTCGAGAACATGATGTAATCAGTTTTTTGAGTTTTTCTCGGTCATGCTAACTCTCAGCTAGGGATGTTGCTATTCGATTCTGCAGGAGGAACCGCTGTTTTGTAGACGGTTCCTTTTTTTTGCAACCGAGACTTTTTCAACCATAAATAACTTACTACAGTTTTATTTTGAGAAAGCTATATTTAGCGTTCATAACGTATACTTGTGCGCAACTTCTTTTACATGAGATCTTCTATACCTGGCAAACCCATCGACCCTCATTAGATAAGAGATAAAGCCAGTATTAGTATGTCTTTATACTGGCCGTAACTTCTGGTCTCGAAACTGTTAAGATCAGACGATAGAAAAGTACAACATTCAACGAAAAAGAACGAGTGTGAACGGACGATCAAATTTGTATTTCTTTATGAAGTGCAAAAAAGAACAATAATTCATTTTTTTCTCTTCTGCCTCATCTTTCTCTCTTGCCTTTCTTTTAACAAATGAAAACACACTGTCGATAAAGCTCCAAAAAGATATATTTGCCTGCCATTATTTAAAAGAATCCTTTGGTTTACAATAAACTGAATTTTATTTTGTTGAATTGTTACTGCCTGAAAAATTGTTCTCCGGTTCTAAGCTGGGAACCGATAACCGCAAGTCGGGAATCTGAACGGTGATTGCGGTTCTTTTCGGTTCAGTTCTAACTCGAGAACCGGAACCGTGGTTCCGGAATCTCCCTTTTCTCACCGCTACATACTCTAAACATTTCATCCCTTTACAGCTAGTTGCCGAAAAAGCCGGGTAAAACATCGTGCAATAACCAGATAATTGCAGTTTCTCAGAGATTTGTTGATTTAATTTATTTTATTTACGACAAGTGAGAGTCATTAAAGGTTCCGACTAATAATAACAATGACTCAAGCCAAATACAAACAGAGTAAGAAAAATAAAGATATAAATATCAAGAAAGAAGAACTGTAAACAAGCTCTTCAAGAAAGCAA